TTGTGAATAATAGTTAGCATTGATTTAGTTATCTATTTGATTGCTTTAGTTATTTAATTTACAATATGCACTATTTCTTTTCATAGATGGCAAGTAATAAAGGATTTGATGGTAGGAGGGACCTCATTGAGGCCTATGTTGCCCTGCAACATATTGTATCATCCATGAATTATACTTGTGGAGTTTATATAGTCGTTTTGCATGCTGCACTGGAAAGATTTGAGGCTACGAGAAAAATAAGTAGAAATCCTAATCCTTTCAAACAACAACTTGACCACCTAAATAGGTTGGTCAGAGATAATGACATAGATTGCTATGAACAACTACGAATGAATAGGCATACCTTTCTGCGGTTGTGTGGGCTTATCAGAACAAAGGGTGTGTCAGATTCAAAATATGTTGTATTAGAGGAAAAGGTTGCTATGTTCTTGACTGTGCTTGGGCACCACCATAAAAATCGAAATGTCAAATTCAATTTTATGAGGTCTGGTCAAACAGTTAGTAAGTATTTCAATGATGTCCTTAAGGCTGTGCTTCGACTGCAAGGTGTCTTACTAAAGACACCTGAGCCAATAACTGCTGGGTGCACAGATGATAGGTGGAGGTGGTTTGAGGTAAATGCTAGTTTTAGTAATTCTTCATGTTTGATAAAAGTTATAATATTCATAATTACAATTTAATAAGTAATAGTTTATTTTTGGTAATTTTTGGTAGAATTGTCTTGGTGCAATTGATGGCACTCATGTTAAAGCGCTAGCTCCTGCAGTAGATAAAGCAAGGTATAGATCAAGAAAGGGTGAAATTGCGACTAATGTCTTGGGTGTTTGCTCCCATGACATGCAGTTCATATATGTCTTACCTGGATGGGAAGGTTCCGCTTCAGATTCTAGAGTACTTAGAGATGCCATAAGTAGACCAAATGGGTTGAGAGTGCCAACGGGTACAGCTGCATTTCACAATATCTTTACTATGTATAACCTTTGGACTTGTACTTAAATTATGTGATTATGTAATTATATAATCCTACATTATTACAGGTTCCTACTATCTAGTTGATGCGGGCTATACTAATGGGGAGGGCTTTTTAGCACCTTATAGAGGACAACGTTACCACTTGTCCACTTGGAGGGAAGGGGGTGCCCCAACTAATGCAGAGGAGTTCTTCAATATGAAGCACTCCGCGGCTCGTAACATAATAGAGAGATGTTTTGGTCTTCTGAAGCTTAGATGGGCAATATTGAGAACATATTCCTATTTTCCAATCAAGACCCAATGTCGAATTATCACAGCTTGTTGTCTTCTACACAATCTCATCAAACGTGAGATGCCTATGGATCCATTGGAGGTAGACTTAGATGACACATTGCCAAATAATCAAGAAACAGGGGACAAGTACATTGATACAATTGAGGGATCTGACCAATGGAGTAATTGGAGGGACACTCTAGCTAACCAAATGTATAATGAGTGGTTAGCTAATAGGATGTAAAATTAAGTACTATTTTCATTGGATGTAATGTTTTTTAATACTTATGTTGTGTAGTGAGTTGGAGACTTGTAACTTAATAGGATGATGTAGACATGTAACTTATTTTATGTTTCAGTTATTTGTTGAAGACATAACTTAATAGGAGTGTTTGTTTGGTTGTCTTAATAAAATTATTGTTCTGTTAAAAATGGTTGCATGTTAGGTATGGATGACACAACTGCTACTAGTGGATGTCGAAAAAAGGGTAAGGGAAAGGGAACTGCTTCCTCATCAAGAGGTCGTAGAGTGTAGACTCCGAAAAAGTGTGATGTGTTGATCCGAGCCATGAGGGATCTGTTCAATGAAAAATGGAAAGCTGACAATGGTCAGTTTAGGTGTGGATTTTACTCTGAATTGGAGAAGCTTATCATATTGGCTTTTCCTGGAACTGATCTTCGTGCATCCCCTCATATCGAGTCAAAGATCAAATTTTGGAGAAGACAATACAATTTGCTTACTGACATGCTTCGCTTGAGTGGCTTTGGGTGGGATGACTCTGAGAAGATGATTTTGGTCGACAGTGACGAAGTTTGGCAAAACTATGTCAAGGTAAAAAACTTACCTTAACCATTTTGCATTATTTAACCATTTTGTATTATTTATTAACTAGAAATATAAATTTCGAAAAAATATTGTTTTGTAGAGGGAGCCAGATGCCAAGGGCATGAGAAATGTACCTTTTATTTACTACGAGGACTGGGTAATTCTCTTTGGCAAGGATAGAGCCACTGGAGTCTTGGCTGAAGGACCTGCTGACATGGTTGATGCCTTAGAAAAAGAGGACCAAACTACTGAGGAGTGTTACACTCCAATTGTTGATCTGCCTGATTGTTCCTTATCAGCATCTGGGACTCCATGCAACCAAGGTGGCTCAGGCACAACTTCTAAGAAAAGAGCTAGGGAAGCTGAAGGTATTGCAAAGGGTCTTGTTGATATGGCTGTTGAGTTTGGTTCCTTCTTCAAGAAAACCAACACTACCCTGGAAGAAATTGCTCATAGGATTGGGTATGCCCAAGACTTGTCTCAAGCTAGGAAGCTGGTTAATGGGGAACTAGCCAAGTTGCGACTGAACACGAATGACAGGTTGAGAGCAGCTACCCTTATTGTGAAGGATGCTGAAAGGGTTGATTTGTTCTTTAGCTTGCCTGAAGAAGAAAAAATGGAATGGGTATGTTTGTTGTTGGCTGGGTGTGTTTAAGTGTGTTTGCTGTAGGCTAATGACATATATCTATCTATATATTATAATATTAGTATTGCTATTCCTCCTCAGGCACATGTGTAGTGCCTATTTTGCATAGTTATTAGGAGGATTAGAAATATTTTGACAGACTAACTGGTTTACATCCCCTAGAAATGGCTTTTGTACCTAGTTTCAATCTAATTGTTGGGGTTGTAAGTAAGCTGAAGTATGCTTAATATTAGTATTTCTTAATTTTGTTGGAATGATGCTTAATATATTAAGTTGAAGGTTATCTATTGTAAAAAAATGTTATCATTTACTTAGAATGAATAAAGGTTATTTTTAATTACAATGGCTTGGATTATTTTATAAGAATAATGATATGTGATGAATGAATGAATAAAGATGTTATTTTTTTTCATTCAATGATTGTTTTGTAAGATAAAATTTTTTAGAATGAATATTAGTTTTTTTGAGGGGGGTAAAATTATTGAATTTAATATAATATAAATTTTTTTATCAGTGGACATTAGTTTAATATAATTTTTTTTTTTTTGTTTTGAAAAATTATTGAATTTAATACGAATATTTAATTTGTTCAAATAAAAAATAATATGAATTTTTAATTTGTTGATTTACATTAGTTTTTCCTAATTTGAACAATTTGGTTTTGATGGACATAAGGGCAATATGGGTATTTAAAATATATTATGAGGGTAATTTTGGAAATTACTTGTTTATATCCCACAATATATTTTATAAAACAAACATGGATAATATATATCCGGTCTTATATACCAAGTCAACAAACATGATTTAGGGAATATACTATCCAATACATATATCATATTCATTATATATCCTGACTATATCCCACATCATATTATATCCTCTATTTTATATCCAGTGGAACAAACAGGGCCATAGAACTTTTTATATCCTGAGAGTATTATGTACCTCTTATAATTTGTTCCCTTTACATAAAAAAATTTGTCCCTTTACATATACCTCTTATAATTTCTCAAACATTTAACATAAATATAATGGATAGGCACCCAAAAATTCCTTGCCTACGTGAGCCCGAATAATTTTTCACTCTATTCACTTTCATTTTCTACACGTTAATACAGGCTACAGCAAAAGGAAAGTTCAGTTGGTTTCCAAGCAATTCAAGTGTTCAAATAAATTAAAAAAAGAAAGAAAAAGAAAAAATAAAAATAAAAATAAAATGGGGTTTTTTTTAAGGTCCCTGGTATTAACATTTTCTAGCATAAAGGACACCAAATATTTTCATAATGTCTAAGGTCCCTCAGGTTGATCCAGAGAAAATTGGTCTAGAGAAAATTGATCCAGAGAAATTTCATCCAGAGAAATTCTGAATTTCTCTGGATTCAACCCAGAGAAAATCAAATTTCTCTGGGAATTGTGAATATATATATATATATATAACTATGACTGCCAATTAGGTGGAAGGAGAGAAAAGGGAAGGAAAGGGGGAAGGTATGGAGGAAGCTGCTGTGAGGAGGGGAGGGAAAGAAAAGGGATTATGTTTCTCTGGACTCCCCAAACCCAACGAAATTCTCAGACATACATTTCCAGAGATTCTCCCACCCAGAGAATTTCTCTGGACTCCACAATCCAGAGAAAATTCCCAGCTAGAGAAATTCTCTCAACCCAAAGAATTTCTCTGGGCATGACCAGATGCAATAGCTGCTATTGTCATAGGCAGACAAGAATCAACTTAAGAATATAGTTGGCTTATTAAATAGAACTACAAATAGTAGGTTAGTCCCTCTACTTCACTGTAGAAGTGGATTTCACCTTAATGTTTGAGGGAGATGCTGGTTTTAGTGACTCACATTGGCAGCAAATTATGTAAAGAAAATTTGTGTGGCTTTGTGTGGTTTTATCCAGAGAAATTTGTGTGGTTTTGTGTGACTCTATCCAGAGAAAATTGTGTTAGAGAAAATTTGTGTGACTTTGTATGGCTCTATCCAAAAAAAAATTGTGTAGAGAAAATTTGCGTGGCCTTGTGTCGCTCTATCCAGAGAAAATTGTGCAGAAAAAATTTGCGTTTTTGATCAAATCAGAGAAAATTGAACAAAAAAACAAAAAAGCAGATATGAAGCTATCCAGAGAAATTTGTGTGGCTCTGTCCAGTAACTTCACCAAAAGTCACCAACCAAAAGTCTTTATGTATAAAAGTCCAAAGACCAAACAATTACAGATATAGATTCTTAAACATTTTAACCCAAACATACATCATAAGTAATCTTTCAAAACTCTGGGTCAATCAGACTCTTAGACTCAAAAGCCTCCGTATCATCATCTCGGATGTACTCTCTCTCTCTCTTCCTCTCTCTCTCTCTCTCTTTCTCTCTCTCTCTCTCATCTCTTTCTCTCTCTATCTATGCATTTGATCTCAAAGTATGTGTATAATTGTTGAGAATGAATTGATCTCAAAGTCTGTGTATAATGTTGGGGCGGTAGTGAAGCTTCGAAGAATGTTGAGGACGAAGAGGAGAGAGAGAGGGGTTGTTTGGTGCAAAAAGAGAGGAGAGAGAATGAGAGAGTGAGTGTTATATATGGGTATGGGTGAGGGAGAACCTTAGACTACAAAAGAACAGATTGTGGACTTAATCTATTACTAAAAGTTGGATATGGACCTTAGACCGATTTTTCCAAATAAAATCTGGCTAAAACAAATCGGATCTAACCGTATGACTTTATAATATCTCCAATTATTCATTAGATATTTTATTATTTGAATAAAAATTTAATCTGATATAATATATTTTAATCCTTTTATAAAATTTGATCAGTCGATTGGCCAAGTTATTCATCTGTTCACCTATCTGGAGGAAATTTTTATTAAATTCATCCAAAAATCAGTTGTTTGGGAGGATGTTTAGGAGAATATCCGGATGAATGTTCGGTCCAATAATCACTTATAAATTTAATAAAAGAATAAACACACCAATATTGATTTTTTAATTTGATATTAAACTGGTAAAATAATTAAAATATTATTTTTTTAACATAATTATTAAATTAAAGTTATAATAAAAGATGAGACGAGAGATGGTCTTCTTGTTTTAAATAACCCCAACGATACCATATCGATCCACCGACTCCTTTACCCGTTTCTGATTTTTCGGCTTCTCCCTCGCTCTCGCTCTCGCTTTCGGTCTCGCGGCGGATCTCAGGGGGTTGCGTAGATCTCAGCTCTCTGGCACGGTTGAGGAAATCTCAAAGTTAGATTCAGTGGTTTTAGTTGACCTCTCTAGATCTCTATATATGTTTGTATTCCATCCATTTTTCCAACTTTTCATTAAATCCTAGGGTATAATATACAGATATATAATTATTAAGATTATTTTTCGTTGCTTTTCGATAGAATTTGTACCTCCTACGTTTCTTTTTGTATCTATGAATGCATTCTGTTTGAGTTTTCATGAAAAAATAAAAATAAAAAAAAAATTAAAACTAATTTAGTGGAGAAAATGAAACAAAAAATGCAAAACCAGATAAGTGATGCCCAGAAAAATAGAGCGACAACCTAAATAAATATATTTATTTAAATAAGTGCACTTATTTAGGCCTGGGATCTACTATATAATCCATCTTTTTATCTTTTTTCCATCACATCACCTCTCTACTTTTCTACACATCTTTTCGTAAAAAGACAAAAAAATGCATTTTTTTAGGATACCCTAAACCAACCTCTAATGCCAAACAAGCTGTTATTATTTCTATATAATTTTCTCTCTCTCTTTTTTAAATAGTGAAAATGATTTTAAAATTTTAGAGATATATATTTGTGTTTATTTTTATCAAATTAATTTTTAATTTTTAATTTTTTTTGAGAAAACAAATTCTCAAAACTTAACCAAACAAAACAAAGCTAAGGTGATAGTTTTGTTAACTAAGGTGGGTCTTTGATCTGGTGGTTATGTGGTGTCGGGTTCAACTCTCACTTTGTGAGGTCTGGGGTTCAAGTCAGGAGTTTGATATTGTTAGGCTTCGGCTTAATTATTAGGTTTGGTGACTTTTTAGTTATCGTTGGGCTGGAGGTCTCGGGTTTAACTCGAGTAGCTCCTGATAGAATCTTCTCTTTTTGCTGACCCTAATGGTGTGACCGAACCTCGCTACCACATTCATCAAAGAGATATTAATAAATTTTTCCCCAAAGCGAGTTCGCCACCAACATCCGCTAAAATTTGTCCTTTTTTAATGCATCTACCCCGCTGAACCTGGGGTTTTTGACGCATACAAGTATTTTGTTGGAACCTTGATACATAACTAATGGAATGTTTAGAGTGTCTCCATTACCTGATAAAATGATCTTGTCAGTATTAGCATAAATGATCTTTCCCGCGGAGTTTGATACTTTGTGGTAGTATTTGTTTCTCTCCATTATGCGGTTGTATGTAGCTGATTGTTGGGCATGGCTTGGTAATTGGTTGTTAGGTTAGGTAACTTTCTAGCTTTTGTTGGGTTGGTGGTTTATTTGAGGTAATATTTCTCATATTTGTAATTACTCTGTTAGCGATTGACAAAAAAAAAAAAATGATAATTTTATGTTTTTTGTTCAGTGAATTGAACACTGGTTGGTTTGTTTTGGTGCAAGCAAGGTTTTGACAAGCGGTTGCGGTGACGCGGTAGCGGTCGTGGGGTGGGGTGTAAAGTCCGTCGCGTAACGGTTGCGGTAACCAAAACCCTGATTTTTTTTTAAAAATTTTTCGCACAATTTGAAGAAAACTTACCGATTTAGTGAGATTTAAAATAAATTTTGATCAATTTTGTTAATTTTTAAGTATAATCCAATACATTTTATATTTTTAAATCACTATAAAATGAGTTTTTTACATTTTATTTCAATAGTTAATGATTTTAAGAATAATTGATTTTAAATGTCTAGAAATTATTTTTTACCAATGTCTTAACTAACTGAATAGAATAAAAAATATTCACAATTATTAAATGAAAGGATTATAAAATAAAAATTATGCCATAAATTTAAAAAAAAATTATAAAGAAAAAAAATTCATATAATATTTTTTCTTTGGGCTTGGATTACTTGAGTATTTATTCTTTTTTTTTATAAGCTTTTATTTTTTTTTTTAAGAAAAAAAAAGTTATTCAGAATATTGTAAAATGGTGTATCGGTGTCTAAGGAACCGTTACGGTACCGCTACAGCCGTTATGTAACACCGAAATGGCTGTTACACGTGAATTTTTGTAACACTACTATAGCAACCGTAAGGGGTGGCGGTAACCACTACAACCGTTACGTAACGGTTGCGACCGCTTTTTAAAGCCTTGGGTGCAAGTCAACAGAAAATCAAGTATGTCAGTTTGGTGGCAAATTCTACACCCTTAAACTTTGTTAGCTTCGGGCTTTAAATCAGCATAAAGTTGATTTACTGTGATTTTTATAGTTTTCGAAATTTATTTTTTCTTAGAAATAGAAAAAGGAAACTGATTTAAAAATTTGTTTGACAAATTGTTTTTGATTTTTTTATTGTTTTAAGAAACATTTAAAGTTGTTTTCTTAATTTTTTAAACACTTTCTGCACAAAAGTAAAAGTTATGGCTAATTTCAAATCAAACCTCATTCTCTCCCCCCCCCTCTCTCTCTCTCTCTAAAATAACAAAAAAACAAAACAAAAATATTGAAATGAAATGAAACCATACCAAACAGTTCATAATTTGAAGTTTGGCCCCGAATCTTGTTTTGTTTTTGTTTTATTAATAATTTCTTAGAGGAAAGTGAGTCTAGCCTAGCTTGTACGGATACCTGCCTATTCATGATCAAAACCAGAAGCTTGGCTGTCGTGGACTGATGTAGTGCTACACGACCAATTTCTATGATGAGAATATAAAATAGAAGCTAATGCTAAATTAAAGCAAACCAAACTAACTCTTTGGTTTATTATATTTCTCAAAAGTTGTAGAAGCATTTTTCCACATGTGTATATTTGGTTCTCATCTGCTTCAGCTTGAACACCATATTTATATGTAATTTGTTCCAAATATGGCAACTTCATGATAGAATTTTCTCTTCCCATGTAGAGGTTTTGTGAGTTTAGGTGTCGAGTGGTTCAAAGTCTAGCTGTTATACATCTTATTCCTGTTTGTGTTTGTTTGTAATCATCCACCTGTCTGAAGTTTAGAAACAACATTAGGGAGAAAAATTCTTGAATAACATAAATGTTGGGCCATTTTTACTAATATATATTTATAGGATTACCTTTTTGTCAGTGATTGACATTCTAATATTTTCAGGTGAATATGAAGTCAAATTGTATATATTAGCATTATTTTCTTTCTTTTTCTTTTGTTTTTGGAAATCAAATTTCAAATTGCTTTGTAATTAACATTGAAATTTTCTTTCTCTGCAATCTCTGTAATTGCAGGAACTGACCACACCATGGAATTCTTGGGTTCCATTTTTGAAATTGGGAAGAATGCATTGGAAGCAACTGGAAAATGGGTTTTAAATATCAATAGCCTTGATGCAAACATGAAAAATCTCAAAAGAAAGATAGAGTACTTGAGCTGTCAAGAGGATGATATAAATACAGAACTGAGCAGTGCAGAGCGGTCATTGAAAAGACGAAAGAAAGAAGTTGAAGTTTGGCTTGGGGATGTGAAAACGTTAAAAGGTAATGTGCGAACTTTGCAGATACTTGAGGAAGAAGTAGTTGGATGGAAGTATGTCTTCTCACGTGCACGGTTGGGAAAGCTTGTCATGGAGAAGATTCACGAGGTGGAAGAATTGCAAGTGAAGGGTAGATTTTCTAATGGTTTGCTGATTGATGCACTGCCAACTAGTTGATGGTCCAGACCAACAATGGGATCTTTTTGTGAAACCACAAGTGAAAGGAACATGGAGAAAGTTTGGGAATACTTAATGGATGATGAGGTTAGAACAATTGGTGTGTTCGGAATGGGGGGAGTTGGCAAAACAACCATCATGAAGCACATTAACAGTCGACTCTTGAATGAAACTTGTAACTTTGATGATGTTATTTGGGTCACAGTATCTAAAGCGTTCAACATTAGCAAACTACAGAGTGACATAGCTAAGGCATTGAATCTTGATTTTTCAGATTACAAGGATGAAACCAGAATAGCAACTGAATTATACGCAATCCTTTCTCGAAAGGAGAGGTATGTGCTCATCTTAGATGATCTATGGGAAGCATTTCCTATGGAGAAGGTGGGTATTCCTGAACCGGCCAGATTTAATGGATGTAAACTAGTTTTGAGTATACGATTCTTTGAAGTGTGTAAAAAAATGGCGAGCAGACCTGTCAAAGTGGAGCTTCTCACGGAAGAAGAAGCACTAAATTTATTTATGAGTAAGGTTGAAGGTCAGACAGTGCTTATTCCTGAAGTGAAAGAAATTGCTAGAAAAGTTGCCAAAGAATGTACGTGTAACGCCCTCAAAATAATAACATTAAACCCATAAGATAAGACAAGCATTTACATATAAACTAACCACATTCCTTTATTTCATTGAGTTTCATTACATAAGTATTACATGTTAACATCAAAACAAAATGCCCTACGGGCTTACAGCTTTCCAAGCTAACACTTGGTTTCAACAAAAGAGTACTAACTCGTTTACACATTAAGCCCTTGGCTTGAAGTTACATGTAATACATCAAAAGTAAAACAACTACACTATGTCCGCCTCTAGCCTCCCAAGCTATGTCCTTGGAGGTGGCATGCTTCCAACATTTATTCCCTTTCTCTATGCCAAACATGCATCTAGGTTTATTATGAATAAAACCCCAACTTTTGTAAAATTACACAAAAGCCCCAAACTTTCACAAAACATGCATTTACATATAAACTAACCACATTCCTTTCTTTCATTGAGTTTCATTACATAAGTATTACATGTTAACATCAAAACAAAATGCCCTACGGGCTTACAGCTTTCCTGATGGAACCAAGGTTAGTGGAATGAGAGATGTTATCTTACATCTACATGAAAATAATGAGCTAATGCAAATCAATGAATGTCACCCAGCATATTTGCCATTACATTATGTTTTATTATTTCCACATGGTGAGCTTGGGTGGGAACCTGAGATGAAACTGTGGGATGTTGAACGTGATCGGCCTTCAACTGATCGGCTTACTCAAATGGATTTTTATAGTTATCGTTTGTTTGAATAGCCCACAGAGTATTCAACAATTTTGAGAGCTGGAAAATTGTTCCAAGAGTTTTTGGTTGATGCTTGGGTTGCAACTGAACAAAATAGGTTGACTTACTACAAGCTTAATCAAGGGAAGATCCGTGCTGAACTTTACCAAGATTTGACAGATATTGAT